CCCTGCCATGGGCAGGGACAGCTTCCACTATCCCAGGTTGTTCCAAGCTCTGTCCACCCTGGCCTTAGACACTTCCAGGAGCATCCACAGCCTCTCTGCACAAGCTGTGCCAGGGCTGGAACAGAGCTGGAACCAGCACCTAGACACCACTCTGGGTTTTTAGGGACAAGAGCAAAACAGATCCCTGTTATCATAAGCCTGGGAATAACACAGAGATAGGGATATGTAAATAAGCTGCAGCCTTAATTTTATCACAGTAATAACAAATACTGACAGCAACCTCCTGGGAATGGGATGAGTTTATCCCCAAAGATTAAAACACCACATTATTCCAAATTTCTCCCATTTAGGGGGAAATCCTGGAGAAATTCTGGGGGAAATCAGTAAGAACAAGCACTTTGTGGTGAGCCTTTCCTTCTGGGACAGTCTCCTGTGCTCCAGGATCCAGGAAATGTGCAGTATTTACTGCGTGCTCATCACCATGGTTTCGGAGCACAATAAGGCTCTATCGCCCTGCATCCATCTGTGTTTCTGGGAATGCCGGGGCTTTGGGAATTGCACGGGGCCAGCACAAAGGCACCCATTGTTCTGGAGGCAGAGGGACGAACCTGCCCTTTCCACAGGAGAGGAAGCCAGCAGGAAAAGTTGCTATTGTGAGCTGGATATTAAAAAAAATGCAGAAAAAAAAGTCTGATTGCATCGTCAGCGCTGCCGGGTCGGGAAAGGGGGATGGCTGGGACAGGGCACCTGTGGGATTGGGGGCTGCCTGGGGAAAGCCAGACAGACTGGCATCAGCTCCTGATAAATCATCCCAAAACCATCCAAAATCCATCCTAAATCCACCCTAAAAGCCAGGCTGGCATCAGCTACCTGCTAAACCATCCCAAAATCCATCGTAAATAAACTCTAAAAGCCAGGCTGGCAGCAGCTACCTCCTAAATCATCCAGAAATCATCCCAAACTCATCCTAAAAAACAGGCTCTGGCATCAGCTACCTACTAAACCACCCAGAAACCATCCTAAATCCACCCTAAAAGCCAGGCTGGCATCAGCTACTTGCTAAACCATCCAGAAAACATCCAAATTCTACCCTAAACCCACCCTAAAATCAGTCTAAAAGCCAGGCTCTGGCATCAGCTACCTGCTAAACCATCCAGAAAACATCCAAAACCCACCCTAAAACCACTGTAAGACCATTCTAAACCTCTTCAAAACCTTCTCTAAAACCATCTGAAAACCACAGTGAAATCACCCTAAAACCACCAAGCAAGCACTAAGAGGGTGAAACTGGACCCATGCAGCTGGAGCATCACTTCCAAAGCTCCAGGTAGGAGCAGGGATGGGGAAGAGCTTTAAATCCCCCAGAATTTAATTCTCCTTTCCACCCAAAGCCATTTGCAGGGCTGGAGTTCTCCTCCAGGACTTTCCTTGGCAGGAAGAACTGCCAAAGTAGTAGGAACCAAATTGTTGTCAGCTTAAAGCCAGCCATCTGCTCAGCCTCTTCCCAGCTGCCATGCTCCCAATCAAAGCCTGAAGAACAATCCCTGATGTTTCTCACCAAGCTCAAGATGAAAAAAATCTAGGAAGGGAAAAAAAAAACCAACAAACCAACAACTCCAAACCCAAAATGCAAAAAAACCCAGAAACCAGGAAAGGAGCCCGGCAGGGATCTAACTGGGAACAGAGATGAAAGTAGGAGAAAAAGAAACTATTTTATTTGTTTAAAACAATGTTTTTTAAAGAGTCCTATTGACATCTGCTTTGTAAATGCTCTGTCATTATTTATAACCTCCAGAGCATGGAATTGTCTCTGGAGTTACAACCATGCTACTCCCAGATTTTGGCTTTGTTAGCAAAGAGCCAGCAGCATTTTTACTGGCACTCTGGGAATAGAGATCTAACATTTCATACCCAGTTTATTTAAAAGTGGACTAATTTAACATCCTTGATGGTTCCTTTTAGCACAACTGTTGCTAATTAGCAGCTCCAGAATGATTTGTTCATCTGAGAGCAGCAGCAGTTCCACGGCAGCATAAATACACCAGGGCAAAAAGAAAGGAGGGGGAAAGGAGAAAATAGGGAAGAGGCATTGGAGAGGGGCAGGTTTTGGAGAATTAAAGGAAATGAAACAACAGGTGGAGATGGGAACACTGAGGAGAAAAGAGGCAGAAAAAACAGAGTGCAAAGGGATAATCCTGGGCCTTGAGAAGCTGGAAAAATTGGTGGCAGATTTTAAAGTTGTGCAAAAGTTGAGTCTGGTGGCGTGGACTGCAAAGTGGATTAAAGACAATGATCCCAGGACCGGGACAGGCACCAGCCCCCAGTGATCCCATGGGATGCCCCAGGGCTGAAGGGATGCAGGGACAAGGAGAGGGACCTTGGCCAGGACACGACCTCAGCTGCTTTAAGTGGCCCCAGGGCACCGTGGGGGCAGGGCCACAACCCAGGATTGAGCAAACCCAACCATAAAACATGTCAGGGTCAGAAGGCTGAAACCAGAGTCCTCCAAGAAGGAGACCCTGAAATTTCAGAGTCCTGTTGGGGAGTGACAGGATCCAACTGATGGCTTTGCACACAATTTCCCTTGGATTTTTGAACAAAGAAGCACCAAAGCAGCTTTGCTGCTCCCATCCCTGTGGCTCTGTGCTCTGGGCACAGCCAGGACCATCACCCTCCCCTGGCTGCACAGAACCAGCTCTGCCCTGTCCCAAAATCACCTCTTTCACAGCAAAAGGCTTGAAAGCAAATCCTCCAAAAAGAAAAAGCTTTTGGGAAAGAAATCATGTTCTCCCTGATGTTTAGAAATCATCAAAGACAGCCTGTTGCTGGTACCAGGATGAGCAGGACTGGAAGAGCTGGGAAGGGTCGGAGCAGCCTCCCTCCAGCCCAGCCTCCATGCTCTGATCACTTTGGTCTTTCCCTGCATGTGTAAAAGCACTTGAAAGTTCATAAAATTAATTCCAGACAAATATTAGCGAGGCATCAAGTGGAAAGCATATCTCCTTCCTTCTGGGAATTTATAGTTCAGCCACTTTTATCTTCGGGAGGCTCTTTGGAGATCAAAGATTTGATCAACTTTCCCTTTGCGAAACTCATGAAGAAAACGGTGTTATCAGGGCCATGACATGATTTTATTTATTACTTTAATGATTCATTGCCCTGCTCTGACAGCAAGATTCCTTCACAAAGGTCTAAAACAAACAGCCTGAGTTCCCCAAGGCCGTGGCTCTGTTTGTTTCTCGATTTTATGGTTGTTACAAGGTCAAGCCCTGCCCTGACAGCTCCCACTTGTTAAGTGCAGCTCTAAAACCACCCCAGACAAACATGGGGCAACCACTTGCCAAAGCCAGAGGGACACAACCTGTCACTCTGGCAGTTTTTCCCATCTCCACCACCTGTAGGGTCAAATCCCTAATTTTCAAAAAGACACAGGTAAGAATCACAGGATCAGTGAGGCTGGAAAAGGCCCCTGAGACCACAGAGTCCAACCTGTGATCGATCCCAGCCCAGAGCACTGAGTGCCATGTCTGGGTGTTCTGGGTGTTCCCCTTCTAAGGCCTAGCCACCCTTTCCATGGAGAAATTCCTCCTGACATCCACCCCGACCCTCCCCTGGCACAGCCTGAAGCCATTCCCTCTTGTCCTGTCCCTGTTCCTGGGAGCAGAGCCTGACACCCCCCAGCTGCTACCTCCTGTCAGGAGTTGTGCAGAGCCACAAGGTCCCCCCTGAGCCTCCTTTTCTCCAGGCTGAGCCCTCCCAGCTCCCTCAGCTGCTCCAGACCCTTCTCCAGCTCCATTCCCCTCCCAGGACAGGATAAGGGTTGAAGAGCTCTGCATTTCTGGAGTGACTGAACTCTGAGCATCCAGGGAACATCAGGGAAATGAGGGAAAGGAATGCCAGTCATGAAAGAACAACACTGGGCACAACGGTGATGGGCAAAGCCCTTGTTAGACACCAACCTTCAGCCTCCCTGTCTCTCCTCAGCAGCTCTCTGCACATCTGGCAAGGCAGAGGCAGCCTGAGGGATGAAGTTAATCCCTCTCAACATCTGCCAGCAGCCTTCCATCAACTCTGCTCGCCTCCAGTGGGAACTTGCTACTACACAAGCAACTGGTGAAGACACTGGGATAGATTTCAAGGAGACTGGGAAAAGGACTGGGATGAGCCATATGAGCACCAGAGCGACACCAGCTCCAAAACTGAGAGCCCACACTAGGCTGGAATCACTCAGGGAGTCTGTACCAAATGCATCAGACTTGTCAGCATTCCGGGCAAGAGGAATCCAGGGAGTTTCACCAAGCCTTTTCTTGGAGCTGAGCCACAGGGAAATGCTTCTCCACTGTGAAACTGCAAATGTTTCAGGGGAGATGGGAAACTCACGGAGCTGGACTGGAAAACTAATGGTGATAGCGGAGTAAGGACTCGGGCACAGAACCACGACTCCATCAGTTCTGTCTCTGCTTTCCCTGGCATGCAGTCCTTTCTCCACTCCTGTAAAAGGGGATCTGCTCTTTCCTGTAATAGGGAAGCATGAGAGCTCTTCCAGGAGTTCACGCTCCTGTCTTTGTGTCACGACAATCATGAAAAGGCAGGACTGGAAATCAAATTCCTCACAAAGACATCAGAAAACTTTCTGCTCTTTCATCCAAGCTTTGTACAACTTTGCCTTCCCCTCACATGGGCTTTGGCCCCACCTGAGACTCCACAGCAAATCAAAACCCCCTTAAAGCAGTCACCAGTTTGGGATGCAGATGTTCCCAGCTGTTTGTTGGATTGTGAAAAGCTCCTTGATGATTTTAAGCACAATTGGGTATGCCAAACAACAAATAAGGGCGAACAATTACAAATTAAAGCCTTAAATGTGCACAGTTCTAGGAGTGAAGGATGGAATTCCTAAGCAGCATTAATTCAGCCAAGTCCTACAGCTGCAGAAATCAGAACTCCTGGAATTCCTCATCTGGGAGGGGACCAAAACCAGGGAGAAACTGAGCAGGACTCACCGTCGGGCCCTTCGCTGCCTTTACTCCTTTTATTCCGACGGACGCGTCTCCCTTCTTCTCCAACGTGCAGCTTCTCCTCGGGGTGGAAGAAGTTCAGCAAGGCCAGCTGTAAGGAGAAGGACAAGTTTAAGCATCTTTGCACACATGGTTCAGCCGAGCTGAGAGACTGGAGCCTAAATGCCAAATCCTTTCCAGCAGGGATGAGCAGGAGAGCTGAGGAGGATGCGAGATGGCTGCTCATGGATCTCAGCTCACCCCAAGTCCCCTTGGAAGTGGTCTAGGACTTGGGAAAACTCCACCTGAGAGGTTTCAGCATGGAGAATCCTTCTTCCAGAGATGGGGGACTGCAGGGAAACCTATGGCTGGAAATAATCAAACAACTCAAAGGCCGATGCGATAATTCCTAATTTTTCTCTGCAAAACTTGCACAATCCTGGATCTCCTTCTCCAGTACTACTCACTGCCAGTAAGATTTGCCTCTCTCAACCTCTTCTCTGCAAGCCTCATTAGCTACTGAGATTCAAAGGTCTTCAGGGACCTTTAAATCCAACCCAATATGCCACATAAATTAACACTTTAAACCTACAGCAACATTTGTAACACAAGATTTGCCAGGAGGCAAAAGTTTTATGTAGAGATCTCTTATTCAGGAAAAATTTACTGCTGCCTTAAAAAGTCTTTTACAGATCAATATCCCGACCCAGAAATTGGAATTTGGGGTTAGAAACCAGAATCCCAGCTACCCCCGGGTGCGGCAGCTCATCACCAGCGGCATTTTCCTCTTATTTCCACTTCATAAGAAAGGAAAGTCAAAGATCAATTAGGGACCAAACACCTTCTGTGTGTTATTGCATCCAACAGCCAGGGCTGCTCCGACCAGGATGGGGTTTTCTTGCTCAAGAAACCCGATCTGCTTATTTCAGCTGTAAATACATAGCAAAACAAAAACACAGCCCAAGACAAGAACCAGGAGGCTTCAAAAAGCAGCCCCAAAGGTTATCGAACCCATCATTGTTCTGAGAACAAAACCTGGGGCATCAAAAGCATCTTTGAAAGAGCAGAGAAGAACAAACACCTCCCCTGAATTGCCGGGCTCGTTAAGCTCCAGCCCATAAAAGTCCCTATCAAGAGCAATAATCGCAAAAGGCCCTCGGCTTTTCACAAGCCCCAGGGCTCTCACCTCCCCTCTCCCTCCATTCCCAAGGTATTCCCAAGCACAGCTCCCCTCCCAGCCTCAGCATCCCAGTCCCTCAGATTTTACATCTGCATTTTGCTTTACTCCAAGCAGTCTCACACATCCAAATGTTTGGAAACCCTTTAGTTTCCAAAGAATCCCCAAAGCGTTTCTCAAATTCCCAATCTGCTGCTATTTCCTGCTGCCCCTGTGCAGGCAGGTCTGCAGAATTCCTGGGTGTTTGTCACTGCAATGATGTCATGGCTGAAAGGACCCTGAAACTGTGGGATGATCAGGGATCAGCTTCCCAAATTCTCACTTCTGGGCTTTTAAACATCCCTAAAAGGCCATGATGAGTAAAGCTTACCTGCCTGAGGAAAGCCACTTACAGGGCTGGCTGGACAACTGAAGGCTCTCGTTTACAACAAGGAGTAAAGGATGAGAACAATTCCCAAAGCACCACATTCCCAAAGCTCCCACATCCCATTACGTTGCCCCAGGTGTGGGACGCTGGAGCAGGATGCTCCTGCAGGTACCACCAGCACCTTTCCTGACACCACAGCACAGCCAGGGATGAGAAAAAGTGAATTTCTCTTTAAACCCCTTATTTAACTCACGTTGAGACACTGCAGAACTAATTGCAGGAACAAATTGCATTATAATTTGGGTTAAAGTGTCAATGAAATCCTCAGCGTGGCTTTGGAATGCTGTTATTGCCTGGATCATTACTGGAGTTTTACAGAACAGGGTAACAGAGGCTGTAACAGAAATAGAGGCTGTTCCTCCAGGCTGAACAACCCCAACTCCACTGCCCTGCTCCAGGTTTTAACCTGATGGCACTTGCCACTGACCACTCAGAAAAACACTAAATTTTGGCTAAAAGTAATCTATCCATTAAACTCTGCATTTCTAGTCAGAAAGAGAAATGACAGCGAGGGTGAATGACTGCATCATACCTTTCACTTAGAAAACAAACCCATAAAAGCAGCTTGTGACTCCAACGGTGAACACAGCAGCTGCTGCTTTGGGACACCCCCCATGACACCGTGTTTTCCAGGAGCAGAGAGAGGGGCCCATGCCCAGGGTGCACCTTCCACAGTGCTGTGAATTATCCAACACCAGCACTGACCTTCCAGTGACTGGCACGGAGGGCTCAGGGGTCCTGCCCGGGATGGAGGGAATGCTCAGATCCCAGGGAAGGTCAGGGGCAGGGAAAGGGTGGCCAAGCCTCCTGCAGCCACCCAAGCTCCCAGAGGCCACGTGCCCCTCTGGGGACTCAAGGGCCCTGTTGTTCCAGGGCTGCAGCTGCCCGAGGTCGGGGATGCTGGGCCATGAAGAGCCCGTCTGTGTCTGGCTGGGAATTGCGGCCGGCACCGCGCGGGTGCTTTTTCCATTCACCACCCCCGAGCCAGCAGTGAGATACTGGGAGGAAATTCCTCCCTGACAGGGCCTGGCACAGGGTGCCCAGAGAAGCTGTGGTGTCCCTGGGTCTCTGGAAGTGTCCAAGGCCAGGTTGGACATTGGGGATTCCATTATCCATTGGGATAGTGGAAGGTGTGCCTGCCTGTGGCAGGGGGTGGAATAAAATCATCTTTAAGGCTCCTTCCTTCTTCTGCATCAACCCTGGGCTCATGGGCATCTTGGCTGTGCCACCTTCTGGGGCAATCCTAAAAGGAATTCTTACCTAGTCCATGATTTCACTGAAACTCCTCATCCTCAAAGTCACAGAGAGCTGATTCTCTCACCCTGTCCACTTTTAGAGCCTGAGAATTTTTCAGGAGTCAAGCACACGCAGCTTCTTTTTTGGGAGCAGGTATTTTCCCTGCACGGTCTAAACAATCCCCATTTCCCTCCTTCTCCAAGCTAAAGCCCTCAAATCACCCTTAATTTTAGAAACACCGTGGGTTTAATCAAGAGAATCACTATAGGATGCAAAAAGGTCAAAAAGCTAACACAGGAAAAAATCCCAGGGGAAGGCATTCCTCAAAATAACCTGGGAAACAATAGCACAGGCACCGCTCGCCGGAGGGAATCGGATCTGCCTCGGTTTCTCTGGGCAAAATAAAGCAAAACAAAGGCACACAGAGCTGGTTTTCCCTGCAGAACCTGCCTGGGAACATTGGACAAAGCTGCTGGAGGATGGATGTCAAGGGAGCACAGTGGGAACTGCCAAAATAACAGGGCCTCAAACTCATTTGTAGGATGGACATTCCACACTCCACACAAGTAAAGGATAAAGAAAGGTATTATAATTTTTCATAAAATAAAATATTATTTGTCTTGTCACTCCAGACCCTTGTCAAAAGTCTCTCGAAGAGCCACTGGACACCAAAGGAATGTATTTCCAATGGTCAAACAGCTTCAAAGGAAGAAAAGTGGAAAAATATAACCCACCCCATGCAATTATGCACAAAGGGTGGATTTTTCCTTAGGCTAAGTTGGTAGGAAGAACAAGTGTATTCTTCCTGCAGAAGGGAAGAACACCCAAGCCTTCAGGTGTACAAGGACTTTTGGGTGAAAAGTGAAAAAAACCTGAAGATTTTCTGCCTCTAATGGCTCCCAATTCCTCCTGACAAAGCAAGTCCAGCTAAAGATCTCATCCAGAAACTACAGTTCAATGTCTTAAAGCACCTCAGAAAAAAACCATGAACTCACCCTCTTGCACGAGTGTTTAACAGGATTGTTAACGTCAAATTCCTTCTTCCTTTGCAGTTTGGGAGATCAGCAGTGTGAGGAGCCTAAGAAGCAGCCCAGGCTCTGCAGCAACATTCTCTGCAAGCAATATTGTTGTTTTTCTGGTGCTCTCAAGTTCAGCCTGTGGTTCAGAGGAGCAGCTACTTGAATATCAGCGCCATTGTCCTCCAGAGCTTTGCCTCTGGTGACACGTGGTGCAAAAAAAAAGCGATCAAGTAGACAATTTATATTCCACCAGCTCGGAAAGAAGCTCGAGGAGTAGCTTTGCTTTATTGAAAAGAAACCCCATCCCACATATTTTAATAATTGTTTTTGTCATCATTTCTTGCTCCTCATAAAAATGGAAGGAGCAAACAAGGGAACAATTCCCATTTCAACGCGACGGAACTTTGACACCGTGTCTTGTCTGCAGGACAAGCCACAGCCCTGCCTGCAACACTTGTGGAATGTGATCAATACCATGAGGGGAGGAGCAGAGATGGAGAGAGCAGAGATGGTACAGCCTCCACTACCCACCTTCCTCCCCAAACCTGGTACTCCCAGCTGGCTGTGGGAATCCTTGCCAGGGCTCTGGAGCAGGTTCCACACCACAACAAACCCCTTCCTTCAGCTTTTCCTGTGTGAAGCTCCAGTTTGGCCCTCACCTTCAAGATGCCCAGAACTCCTCTGGTCCCTGTTGCTTCATTCTCTGTCCTCCTTCCCTACCAGCGCCAGCCACATTCCTGCTCCATCCAGCTGTTCATCCCAAAGCCCAAGATCCCAGAGGCACAATCCTTCACCCTGGAGTTGATACAAAATCCCAACTCTCCCTCATTCCAATTTGCACTCAAGGATCCTCACCGGTTTTAAGACACAACTTCAAAAGCATTTTCCATCCAAAGCTGTTCTGTAATCCCAAAACACCAGCAATGCAGGGAATGAATTTGGCTTGATGATCTTGAAGTTTTCTTCCAATCTTGTGATTCTATGATTTTATGATTTTTGAGCTCTGGCCCAGGCAGGAGCTGTAACAGCAGAGCCACCTCCCTCCCAACACTCATGAGGAGTTTCACAAAAATGAAAGCCAAGGAGTCAAGGGAGTATTTGACCAAGAGAACACAGAAATGACCATGGACTTGCAGATGGACCATGGAATGCCATGGCCTGGGGCACAGCACCTGCCAGCAGGCAGGAACTCCAATCCCAGCACATCTACACCCTGAACACGCCACCAGCACTTTTGGGAACAGGATTTGAGATGCTGCCAACGTGCTGAGCACTGGGTCAAAATCCTCTCCCAAGGACTGTGCAATCCCAGTTTGGAGAAGGCCAGGGAATGACAGTCTGGGTCTTCCAAGCACTCCAGTAACAGACACCAACTGGAGACCAATGGAAGAGGAAGGAGCAGGTTTTCCCAGGATTTATTGGTATTTTACATTTAGTACCCAGGAAAGCCATGGTGTTTTGAAGGACAGAACCCTAAATCCAACTGCCAGTTCTCAACCCAAGCCAAAGCGCTGGACAGGGAATTAATTGCCATCAGAACAATCAAAACACCTTATAAAATTCCCTTCAGATCCAAACCCTTCCCAAAACCCTTCCTCCTTTCCATGTGGAACTGCGCAGATCTATGACAGCAGCAATCATATCCTGCAACTCCAAGTCCAAACAGGAATTTTCTCCTTTTCCTCTAATCCAAACCTTCCTCAGCTCAAGCTCAGCTTAGTTCAGTAAGCAACATCCCACATTCTTACATTTCCACCACTGACCCAACTGAACACACCACTTGATTTTTACTTTCAATCAGCTCAGGGACCCTGGAGCAGATGCAGGTAAACCTGGCAGGTAAGGACATGGCAGAGGGGCAGGCAGGTGGATTTGCTCCTCATGGGATGAGTGAAGTGCAACTTTGGAAAAGGAACGTTCCAGCATTCCTTCAGACAGAGAGAATAACCTAGGGAACCCTCAGAAACACTTTCTGTCCTAAACCTCCACAGAAAATTGTTTTCAGCACAAAATGGAACAAGATCCACAGTCCAAATCCCTGGATTCCACACACCCCACAACTTTCCCTGACTCAATCACCAAAATCACCGAATCTGACCCCAAACCAGCACCACCTCAAGCCTGGAAGACCACAATTTGTTAAAGGAGGCTGTTTGTCCACACACTTGCCTAAGACACCTTTCCCTGGAGCTGCCTTGTGCTGGAGGGGAGCTGG